CGTCTGTGCCGGACACTGTCAGCATCCTGCGTGGGCTGAGGGAGCGCTATGAGCTGCATCACGGCGTGCGCATCAGTGACAACGCGCTCGTGGCTGCTGCGTCCCTGTCGGATCGCTACATTTCCGACCGCTTCCTGCCGGATAAAGGTATGCACGAGGGTTTTCTGGGACTGCTGTGTGGGAATGGTTGGTTCTTGGAAAGTTTTGAGTTAGGGTGGTCGTCAGTGTGGGCATGGCGTTGTGTGTTACGTTGGATACGCGTGGGTAAGTTCTTGTGTTGCTAAAAATTGTACCTGGTTCTCTCCACTTGTTCTCTCCACTTGTTCTCTCCACTTCCCCTGTTGCAGGAGCATCAGATTCTTTTCCCCTTGTTCTTCCCTCCCCCTCTCTTCCCCTCAGTGCTCCCCCCCATCCCATCCTTCATCCATGACGCATGCAGCCATCGATTCGGTGGAGGAGGCAGCAGCAGAGAATTTAAAGATGGAGATCACGAGCAAGATGGAGATCACGAGCAAGCCCACTGCCTTGGAGATCACGAGCAAGCCCACTGCCTTGGAGATCACGAGCAAGCCCACTGCCTTGGAGATCACGAGCAAGCTCACTGCCTTGGAGATCACGAGCAAGCCCACTGCCTTGGAGATCACGAGCAAGCCCACTGCCTTGGAGATCACGAGCAAGCCCACTGCCTTGGAGATCACGAGCAAGCCCACTGCCTTGGAGATCACGAGCAAGCCCACTGCGCTAGACGACGAGTGGCATCAACACCTGCAGCTACCAACACTCCCAGTTTTCCCCCTTCTCCCTCTCCGCTCCCTCCCCGTTCCCACATGCAGCGATCGACCTGGTGGACAAGGCAGCGGCGAAGATCAAGATGGAGATCACCAGCAAGATGGAGATCACCAGCAAGATGGAGATCACCAGCAAGATGGAGATCACCAGCTAGCCCACTGCTTTGGATTGGTGGCATGGACACTAGTAGCTATCAACATTTTGACTGCTTCCCCGTCCCCCCACCTTCCCCTCCTGTCCCTATGCAGCCATTGATCTGGTGGACGAGGCAGCGGCAAAGATCAAGATGGAGATCACATCGAAGCCCACTGCCTTGGACGAGGTGGATCGTGCCGTACTCAAGCTTGAGATGGAACGCCTGTCCCTCGGCAACGACACCGACAGGTGCCTGCCCCCACTGCTTCACCCTCTCGACTCTGCTCTTGATAGTGTTGGCTCTTTTGAACATGTTGGCACTTGTGACGACTATCAGTGTGTAGCTTGACACCACCCACATCGATGTGAAGTGAGGGTGTTTTTGAGACGTCTCAAAACACCCTCACTTGTGACGACTATCAGTGTGTTGCTTGACACCACCCACATCGATGCAATGCAAGCACACCTCTCTCTAGCCTTCAACCTGTGCCATTGCCTGTCCCTCGCCCCCCATCCCCTCCGCATTCCCACTTCACCCAGGCTGTCACGGGAGCGGTACGAGCGGCTGGAGAACGAGCTCAAGGTCCTCAAGTCCCGCCAGGCGGAGCTCACCGAGCAGTGGGAGCGGGAGAAGAGCGTGATGTCGCGCATCCAGAGCATCAAGGAGGAGGTGGACCGCGTGAACGTGGAGATCGGGCAGGCGGAGCGCGACTACGACCTCAACCGCGCGGCGGAGCTCAAGTACGGCAACCTCATCTCGCTGGAGAAGCAGCTGTCGGACGCCGTGGCGGCGCTGAACGAGTACCAGCAGTCGGGCAAGTCCATGCTGCGCGAGGAGGTCACCAGCAGCGACATTGCCGAGGTGGTGGCCAAGTGGACGGGCATCCCGGTGGACAAGCTACAGGAGTCGGAGAGGGAGAAGCTGCTCAAGCTGGACGACGAGCTGCACAAGAGATTGATTGGCCAGGAGACGGCGGTTACGGCGGTGGCGGAGGCCATTCAGCGGTCCAGGGCAGGACTGTCGGACCCCAACCGCCCGATCGCCAGCTTCATGTTCATGGGACCCACCGGTGAGCTGCATTTGTACGAAAATACCACCTTTGTGGTCTCACTGTCCATGGGTCCGATGCTTCCCCCTCTTGTTGCATCTACTGCGTTCTCGTCTCATGCCTCACCTCCTGTTCTCCTCAACCTTTCCTCTTCCCTCCTCTCCTCTCCTCTCCCTTTTGCCTCCTCCTTCCGCCCAGGAGTGGGTAAAACCGAGCTGGCCAAGTCCCTTGCCGCATTCCTGTTTGAGAGCGAGGAGGCGTTGGTGCGCATCGACATGAGCGAGTACATGGAGAAGCACTCTGTGTCGTGCCTCATCACACCGCCTCTCTTCCATCCCCGCCTTTCTCCCACGTCCCCCTTATGCTCCCCCAGGTGTGGGAAAGACAGAGCTGGCCAAATCTCTCGCGGCATTCCTCTTCGACAGCGAGGAGGCGCTGGTGCGCATCGACATGAGCGAGTACATGGAGAAGCACTCCGTGTCGCGCCTCATCGGAGCACCCCCGGGCTACGTGGGGTACGAGGAGGGCGGGCAGCTGACGGAGGCGGTGCGGCGGCGGCCGTACTCTGTGGTGCTGTTTGACGAGGTGGAGAAGGCGCACGGGGACGTCTTCAACGTCTTCCTTCAGGTGGGTTAGCTGTCTTCGACTCTGTGCTCTGCCCCGCTTCTGTGCTCTGCCCCGTTTCTGTGCTCTGCCCCGCTTCTGTGCTCTGCCCCGCTTCTGTGCTCTGCCCCGCTTCTGTGCTCTGCCCCGCTTCTGTGCTCTGCCCCGCTTCTGTGCTCTGCCCCGCTTCTGTGCTCTGCCCCGCTTCTGTGCTCTTCCCCGCTTCTGTGCTCTGCCCCGCTTCTTTGCTCTGCCCCACTTCTGTGCTCTGCCCCGCTTCTTTGCTCTGCCGTGCGTCAGTTTTATGCTGCCGTGCCCTCGTGCGAGTCTGCTTTCATCTCACTCTGCACAACTTAATTATGAGCACTCAAATAGCCTTTCCCCTTTATATCTCCCTGCCCCTCCTCCCTCCTGGCTCCCCCCGCCTGCCATCCTTGCCTCCTCACACTTAACTCTTTCCTTCGCACCTACTTCCCATTTTTACTACTATCTGCGTGGCCCCATTTTTACTACTATCTGCATGGCAGATTCTGGACGACGGGAGGGTGACGGACAGCCAGGGCCGCACAGTGTCGTTCCGCAACACGGTGATCATCATGACGTCCAACGTGGGCTCGCAGTACATCCTGCAGGCACTCGACCACCAGACCGCTGACAAGGACGTGCAGTACCAGGTGCGTGTTCTCTGCTGTGGCGGTGGGTGTTCACTGCCATCTGCTGCCTTGCGAATGCTCTCATGTGGACGTTTTCTTCTGTGGCTTCCATGCTGCTTCCTTAATTGTCTTTCCCTCGTCTCACCCACCCACTTCCCACCCAACCCCAACCCCAACCCCAACCCGAATCCCCCTCACCTCCTGTCACCCCCTCGCAGGTTCGTAGGAGCGTGTGATGGAATCAGCATGGACCATCTTCCGTCCCGAGCTCATGAGCCGCATTGACAACTTTTTTGTCGTCCACTCCCCACGCTCTATGCTCCCTTTTGCTGATTCATCTCCTGCCTCCTCTTCCTTCTCTCCGCCCACAGGTGATGAAGGAGCGCGTGATGGATTCAGCTCGGTCCATCTTCCGACCCGAGTTCATGAACCGAATCGACGACTTCATCGTCTTCCAATCGCTCGACGCCGCTCAGATCACGCGCATCGTGCGCCTGCAGCTGGCGCGTGTGCAGCACCGCCTCAAAGACCGCAAGATCCGCCTGCAGGTCACTGACGCCGCCGTCGACCACCTGGGCCACCTCGGGTACGACCCGGCGTACGGTGCCCGCCCGGTGAAGCGGGTGATTCAGCACGAGGTGGAGAATGAGCTGGCCAAGGGGATTCTGAGGGGGGATTTCGGGGAGGATGATGTGGTGGTGGTCGATACGGAGATTGTGGTGGGGGGTGCCGGTGGGGTGCCGACGACTCGGCTTACGTTTAAGGCGGAGCACGGTGGGGCGTTCAGTGGTGGGGAGAGTGATGCTGAGGCCAAGGAGCAGGCCAAGAGCTTGTTTGCTTAGGTTGGGGTGTGCAGGCAAGACTTGTTTTAGAGTTATAGCAGATTGATCAGCTGAACTGTATGTACTTGTGAAAGTGCTGAAATATTAGTCAACAGACGTGGCATGTACATGTGCTAGGTTCTACTGTACTATTTCCAGGTGCTCATTATTTTGTATATGGATTTAGCCTATTTCGTCTAAAGCGGTTTCCGCTACACTCGATCAACAGAATTCCCCGCATAATATCGGGTGACCTCTTGGGAGCTGTGCTTGAGCATCCCTAGATTTTGGTGCTACATTCTGGTTCTGCCTTTTGAGCCCCGTATCGCGAGTCACGACCTTGGGATGTGACGCGGAGAGTCCTTGGGTTTGTTTCTATGTGGATGGCAGGAGCTCTAGCTGGAAGAGCACCCTTGGGTGAAAGTTTCGGGATTAGATCGAGTCGCGACCTTGAGATGTTTTTTGTAATGGCTCGACTCGAAGCATCTGAGTGGAAACGGAGTGAATCAAGCAGATTCATTTCCGGTTTGCAGCAGCCAGGAGCCTGGAAGAGCGAGAGATTCGCACAACCTTCCGCTTTGGACAACTCCTGTCTGCTTCGGCATTCGCCATGGCCATTCAGAAAAAAGTCGATCCTTCGCGTAGCGGAGCATCGAGAAGCAACCCTCTTCTGCTTGATTCCGCCTCTGCATCTGATGATCCGTTGATAACGACAGATGGCGAAGCGGACGGCTGGCGGATATTGTTTTGGGCCGAACCAGGGGATCGCGAAGGTGCTTGCTTGCCGTCGCCACAGCCATTTATATCGTCCACTTTCCAGCTCTTCCACTCTCCGCACGCCCTCATCCAGCACCGCTGCGCCGGCTGTCGTTCCGCCATTGCCGACGGTTCCGTTGCTGCTGCTAATGGCGCCTTACGCGATAGTACCAGCGCCGACGATCCTTGGGGACATGCCGCTGTGCTGCGAGCGCAACGGACGGACAACCACGCAAGCAGTGGAGGAAGGACAGCCGTGTGAGGACAGCGCGATGGAGCTGTGCGTGTGTGTGCGTGAGGCAGCACGTGACGGGCAGGGCCCGTCGTGGTCGTCGGGACGGCTGCAGCTGGCATCAGTGGCTGCGGAGGACGTCATGCTGCACCTGGTGCGGCTGCGGGGACGGGGAGCGCGGAACGGAAAGCCCGATGAATGGACGGGACGCGAGGTTGAGGGAGAGGAGAAGGCGGAGATAGTTGTGTCGGCGAGGGCGTCAGACATAAGGGAGCTGCACCATCCGTCTGCTGTGCAGGCCCTCCTGCACCTCGCGCAGAGGGGCCTCGTTACTGTCACCCCCCTCGGCATTGATGCACCCCGTGGAGTTACCCACGCGCAACGCATCACCCGGCCACTTGAGGAGCGCGCCGCTGGCTCTGTGCGCATTCTGCTGGGCATCCCCAGCAGGCTTGTCCCGGAGGTGCCGGTGGAGCAGATGTGCTTGCCTCTGCTCGCCCCTCTGCTGACTGAGTGGCGGAAATTCAACCACACGCATCACATACGCGCGCTCATGAGCAGCCTTGCGCCAGATGCCGTGCTGCACCCCGGGCCTCATGGATGTGCAACTGCTTTGCCGTGCTCCTGCCATGCTGATGGAGCATTGTACGGCAACGTGGATGGCAGCATGGATGACGGATTGCCACGTAGCAGTGGCTTCGATTTCGACCAACTGTACCGAGCTGTGCGGCCCAGCAGGTGGGTGATGGCATTGCAGGTGAGTGGTAAGGTGGCTTGGTTGCGGATGCATCTAACAGGGTTCCATACTCTGCAGGGTGACCTCGTTGACTTATGCTCTTCTCGTCCTTGCCTTCCGTTACTAGCTCGTGTCTCAAATACTGATACGCAACCGACGTATATTCAGTAATCCGTTCACGATAGCAACTAGTATTTTGCGACCAGTCACGTGACCTCCACGCCTCTCACTTCCACTGCTCTGCACCATTCGTTCAACCATTCGCCAAGTGCAACCCCAATGCCGCTGGTTTCTTGTCACATACATGTTCGTAGCATTGTGCTCTCAACAGGTATTGCATCCATCCATCCCTGTGCTGCTGTGCACCCCCCCCGTGCTGCTTGCAGGCACCTTCCGTCCCTTGACTTGAGTCCACCCAACCTGCTACCTCCTCTGAGGCCGTACCAGAGCAGAGCTGTGGCGTGGATGGTGCAGCGAGAGCGGGGCGAGCAGGGGGGATGCGGGGATGGTAGGCAGGGCGAATGGTGGACGGAAGTGCAGCATCCCTTGTGGCGGCAAGTGGCAGCAGAGAAAAGCCATCCTGACGTCACTCTGCACTACAATCCTATCCAGTGGGTATCTGTCCATCAAGTGTATTCATACCCCCCCTGCACAGCCCCGCACATCACCTGTCGCTTTCCCCCCTCTTTTCACACCACAATTGTTGCTATTCCCCCTCTTTCCGTGCACCTGTTGCTATTCCCCCTCTTCCCTCCCTGGCCCTGTTGCTATTCCCCCTCTTCCCCCGCACCTGTTGCTATTCCCCCTCTTTCCGTGCACCTGTTGCTATTCCCCCTCTCCCCCCGCACCTGTTGCTATTCCCCCTCTTCCCCCGCACCTGTTTCTATTCTCCCTCTTTCCGCGCACCTGTTGCTATTCCCCCTCTTTCCGCGCACCTGTTGCTATTCCCCCTTTCCACGCCATTGCCACTCAAGAGGGACCTGCGTTTTTCCTTTGGCGGCCCTTTCATGGCTCTGCTGACTTCTCATCTGCCTCCTCACCTTCATCCCCTTTCTTGTTCTCATGCCCAACCCCTTCCCCGCATTATGCTCTATCCCTGCCCAACCTCTTCCTCACTCCCTCCCTCCCACCTCTTTGCCATGTGTCATCCAGAGGTACCTTTGTGCGCCTCCCTCGCTCCAGCTGCTGTTCTCATCCGGTCAGCAATCACAGGAAAATGCGCGCAGCTTCGGCATGCACCGGTTCAAAACATATTGGTTCAGCGCACGCAGGTTCGGTGCATACAGGTTCGGCGAGCTCAAGCTTGGTCGGTGCAGGGTCAGTGAGTGGAGTGTGCGGGTGGGTGGGTGCGGTGGCAGGGGCAGTGAGGGGCGGCATTCTGGCAGAGGAGATGGGGCTGGGTAAGACCGTTGAGGTGCTTGCCTGCATCCTCTCCCACCGCTGGGAAGGCAGTGGGAAGGGAGAGACGGAGGCAGGGGTCATTGGGAAGAGGACTAAAGGCGCGGAAAAAGGACAGTCTGAACAGTGCAGTGAGAGGGGGAAGAAAGGCGAGAAGGGAGAGGATGGCGAGAAGGGGGGCGAGGGGAGCAGGAAGAAGAGGAAAGGGACGATGAGGATGGCAGCACGAAAAATCAAGGGGCGTGGCGGTGGTGTTGAGGTGGTGAAGGGCGAGCAAGGAGAGGCCATAATGGAGGGGAGGAGGGGCGAGTACTGACGCCATGTGGGAGCACGCTCATCGTGTGTCCGGCGGCTATTCTTCCTCAGTGGCGAGACGAGGTCTTGCGGTATGTGAAGGGCAAGCCCTGGGCATTGGGCGCCTTCTTTGTTATGCTGCCGCCTTTGCTACCTTAATATCGCTTCGGCCAACCCCTCTTAGTGTCTTTCCTTTTATTTTCTTTCAAACCTTCCGTATCGTTCAGTATGAATGGCAGGTACAGCAAGCACAGTTGGCTGTGTGAGGATGGTGAGGGACAGGCCTGGCCAGGCTACTTGGGAGACTACGCTTTGCACGCGTTCAGTTCCTTGTCTCTTGCACCGCCATATCACAATGCCGTGCATCGTCTGCCTCTCCACTCACTCCTCCCTCCACCATGCACCCCATCCCCTTGCTCATCTCCCCTTCCGCCAGCCACACCCGTGCAGGCACAGTGAGTGCGCTGGTGTATCAGGGCGTCAACAGCCCCGCCCTGCGCCTCGCCTTCCGCCCCTCCCCAGCCTCGCCTCTCACCTTCCCCCCCGACTCACCTCTCAGCATTTCCTCGCCTGCCTCCTCGGGTGATGAGGGGACAGACAGGGCCTTTCGTGGAAGGGGGGGTGGTAAGGTGGGAGACGGGCGTGAGGGAGGGCGAGGAGGGGGTGGAAAGGGGAAGAGGCAGGTGGATTGGGGGCGAAGGGAGAGGCTAGATGTGGAGTGCAGCGAGGTGTGGGAGGAGGTGGATGAAGTCACTTCTCTTGATCTTGCAGCTGCTGACATCGTGCTGGCGTCATACGAAACACTTAGTGGCGACATCTGGCACGATGGGCCCACAAGAGTGTTGCGGCATAAGAAGAGGTGAGGGGGAAAGCATGGGGAGACGGAACAAGGTAGTAGTAGCACAGAGAGCTCTGGATGCTGGGTGTGTGTAAGGGTGCCTTGATTCTAAGCTTGTAGGTGACAGGCAAGGCCAACAGCAAAACCAAGAGAGGAAGAGGTTGGCGCTACTGCCATGTCAGCCTACTGCCCTTTCCATACCTGCTTTGTGTGTCGGCAAGTTTTTTTTTGTTCCCAGCTACCAGAAGCGCCCTATGCACCTGACTCGCTGCTCTGGTACCAAAATGCACATTTCATTGTCGCACCTTGCTGCTCTGTCCCAGGTACGAGGCCCGCCCCACGCCCCTCACACGCCTGCACTGGTGGCGGGTGTGTCTGGACGAGGCGCAGCTGGTGGAGGGCGGAACCTCCAGAGCAGCAGTCATGGCGGCCCGCCTGTCCGCGCAGCACCGGTGGTGCGTGTCGGGCACTCCCATTCAGAAGGGCCTGCCGGACCTGCAGAGCTTGCTTCGGTTCCTCCGAGCCTCGCCGTTTGACCTGCCGCAGTGGTGGTGCGATTTTTTCGAGAAACCTATTGAGGTGAGCCTGCTGGGGGCCGGGACTTGGGCTGAGAAATTGGTGTGGGTGTGATGGGTAGTGTGAGTGTGGTGGCACTAGTCAATGGTCATGATGCAATGCAACTGGCACTTGATCGATATGGCCTCAGTCCTGTATCACTCTCGTTTTGGCATTTGGTCAATGTGGCTTCAGTCCTGCACCACTCTCACTGTGTCATCTGCACAGCTACTGGCTCGCTCACGGCTGTGCTTGTGATGTTCTGGACTTCTCGCTTCGACTTTGCTCTGATCTATTACAGTTGGCCCAAGGTATCCATCTCATCTGTTTGGTGTGCTGCCTCTGTTTCCTCCTCCCTGCCTGATGCCCACTCAAACTCTTGTATGCATCGAATCTCTCTCCTTCCTTTCCCCACCCCGCAACTGCCCTCACCTAACGCCATGGCAGCATGGATGCGTGCCAGCGTGGCACTCCCTCCTGGCCCTCATGTCGCAGCTGATGTGGCGCCATAACAAGGCTGACGTGGCGGACGAGCTGGCGCTGCCACCTCAGCGGCAGCTGCTGACGGTGCTGCGGTTCAGTGCCATCGAGGTGCACTTCTACCGCCAGCAGCACACCAAGTGCGCCCAGCGCGCGAAACACGTCCTCAGATTAGGGGAGCGAGGGGGAGGGAGGGCAGGAGCAGGACCGGGCAGAGGCGGAGCTGGGGATGGGGATGGAGAGGAGGAGGATCAGGGAGGGGAGCGGCAGCAGCAGCAGTCGCTGCGGTCGCTGCTGCCGTCGAGTGCGTGCCGTGCCGACCTCAACAGTTTCCTCGCGTCGCTGCTGCTGCTACGCCAGGCCTGCTGCCACCCCCAGGTTGGCTCGGGCGGGCTACGGCGTTTGAACTCGGAGCGACCCATGCACATGGATGAAGTGCGGCAGGTGTGTCCCATGCACATGGATGAAGTGCGGCAGGTGTGTCCCATGCACATGGATGAGGTTCGGCAGGTGTGTGTGTGGGAGGAGGGCATGTGAGCGGGCTGCTGTTGGAATGGATATGGGTGAAGTGCTGCAAGGGACGGAGAGAGAAGAAGTGAGAAGCAGGCATGGGGATTGTCAAGCAAGCTGGGTGAGGCTGCGAGGTTTGTGAGCCTTTTAGAATGGTGAGGGAGTTTGAGGCATGTGATGCGAATCGGAGAAATGGATCGCTGGCTGATCCGGTCCAGTCCCTTGTGCTTCCTTTGGTGTCCCAACCATTATCCATGAACCTCCTCACAGCAACTTTACCAGTTCTCATCCTTATTTGAGGACTGCTCCTCACATGCTCTTTGTGATTTGCACCAAATCTTGTTCCTTGGCTTCCCTTCCAAATGCATGGTGTGACACATCACTGGCATGCCCTCAGGTGCTGTTGGAGAAGGCGAGGGTGGAGGCGGAGGAAGCCCAGCGTCTCCTCATCTCCGCCCTCAACGGCCTCGCTGCTCTCGCCGCCATCCACGCTCCCACCCTCCCCCTCCTCTCCTCCTCCTCGCCCCCCTCCGCTGCTTCTCCCCACCACTCTTTTGAGAACATCGACCAGTGGGGAGCCGGGGCAGAGCAGGCCGTGGGGCTTTACCGCGATGCTTTGTGAGTCTTGGATGAAAATGAGGATGGGGCACAGCAAGTGAATGGCGATGGGGATCGGAATGAAGACGGGCATGATGGCGACGCAGGGGGAGCGAGTGTGTCTCTCTCCGCCCCTCACCGCGCTCGCCAGCGCAACGCCCTCCTGCAGCGCCTGCACGTGCTGCACAACCTGCACGAGCTGCTCGCCCTGCTGCACTCCGCCACGGAAGGAAGCCAGGGGCACTGTGGCGTAGCGCGGAGTGATAAGGGGTGCAGTTCGGTGGAGTCAGATGGCATTGGAGCAGGTGTGGTGGTTGCACGGACAGCGAGGGAGGAGAGGCTGGAAGGGGAGATGGAGGAGGCGATGGGGAAGTATGTGGCTCCTTACAGGGCGCGCGCTGCTGCTGCCAAGAAGGCCTTCGAGGATGTGCACTCACAGGCGAGTCATGTGGGGGAGTGTGTGTGGTGGTGCAACCGTGAGAGTACGTGGGTACTTGTGAGAGACTGTGGGCACATGTGAGAGAGTATGTGGGTCTGTGCTGGTCATATAGGGTGTCATTACGCCCATGCCAATTGGGTCGTTGCTCTCATCTCTATCATTGCAGCTCATAATGTCACTCGCATGGATGTCTGTATTTCAAACCCTCAACCCTCATGCCACTCGCATCTCTCTGCATGTGCATGTCACACACACATGTCTACATCCCGCACGTGCAGGTGGAAGCCCATGGGGCATCAGCTCTCCTCTCCACCTGCACCTCGCGGTCATGGCTCGCTCTCCTCGCAGCACTGCGGTCTTCTGTGCCCCCAGTTCGCACAGGCAGCAGCATCACTCACTTGCAGCGCACGCTACTGGATGATGATAGCTGCAGCAGGCTAGAGACAATGAACATGGCCAGCCTTGCTCTCAGGTGCGCCGTAAGATTGGGAACGGCTCGACTGTGGTGCTGGAAGCGTGCTTGCCTTGCACACTACTCTTTCCTGCACCTCCCTCAATAGTCCTCACTGCACCCCATGATCCGCCCTCTCCTCCCATCCCCTTGTCAGCTTCCCCACGCTGCACGGCCTGCTGGTTGCGCTGGGAGAGGAAGTGGCCAGGCTGATGGGAAGCAGGCAGGAAGTGCTGCAGCGAGTGGTGGACGCGGGCGGTAGGGTGGACGTTGAGGGCGTGGGGGGCAGTCTGGTGGCGCAGGCAGGCTCGTGTGGTCGCAGCAGTGCGGGGCAGGAGGAGAAGGGCGGGGCTGAGGATTATGAGGCTGAGGAGGGCGCGACTGAGGAGGGCGGGGATGAGGATGGAGGGGCTGAGGGTGTTTTGGCGAGTGGAGTGGTTGGTGCGAGGGGAGCAGATGGGGGGGAAGGCAGTGAGCTCTGCATGCTTTGCCAGGCGCAGGACGTGTTTGAGGTGAGATGGGTGTGCAATCAGACGGGCACCAGGATACAGGTGGGGGCGCAGGGAGGAGGGAGGTCGGAGCTCGCCTCATCCTTGAAGGCGTTTCTTTCTTTCACGACAGCCTCTCTCAAGCCCATTTCGCTGCTTCCTCTGATGGATCTGAAGTCCTCCATGCTTAAATTCAACCCTTGTCATGCGGTTCTGCTCTGCTTCCCTGCTACTCTTTTGCAACCTTTGCTCCCCAACTCCTACTGGGCTTCTCCCTAGTACTACACTTTCAAACCCATACATATGTCTCCGATTTTCCACCATTCCATCTTCCCATGCCGATTAACCATCCCTGCATAACCACGACTCCACTCCACTCTCTCCCTGCCGTCCCACCACCCCATCCCACCCTGCCAGCGTTACGGCCGTCGTCTTATCCAGCTGCAACTCTCATCAGCCCCTCCATCCCTCGCCTCCTCCTCCCATCTCACTCAACCTCTCCACCCTACCTTCACGAGCTCTCCTGCTCCCTCTACATCTTGCGGCCCCATTTCCATCTCCCAATCGGCACTGGAAGTGCGCAATACCCCACAGGTTCCAGCCACAGCAGCAGGGTGGCAGGACGCCAAGGGGAGGGGCACCAGGGTCAGCAGGAGAGGGGGAAAGGGAGGTGCAGGGGAGGAAGAAGAGGGAGGAGCTTTGGTGGAGTGGAAACCAGCAGACACTGCAAGGTGTTTGGCCATTCTGCCTTGGGTGCTTGCATCACTGCCTGATGGCATCATTGGAGACGAGGACCGGGGCGTTCTGGGAGCTGCAGCATCCCGCACTTTGGAAGCTTTGAAGGTCAGTCGAAAATGTGCCCAAATATTCCTTGTTATCCCTTTCTAAGATTCCGATGCTGTTTGTCCGTTCCGTTTGTGACACCAAGGCAGCATGGCATGAGCTCCGGGCTGGTCCAGCCCATGGCCCATGGCCTTCCGTTTATGTTGAGGTGGCCCAATCTGTGCTAGTGCAGTATCTTCTTTTCTGAGGGTTTGCCCGCCAAGCCCAGGCCGACCGGGTCGCGAGCGAACTGGTCACTGAAGGTGGGCGTGTACTTGGACGGGGTGAAACACGGCCCTGGTCGAGTGTGGAGATTAGAGGTTGATAGGGAATGTGTTAGAAATGTATGTATAGCATGCTAAGTGTAAAAGGGGATGGTGCTACACCCAACTTTGGGTGTAGCTTGCTTTGTAGGTCTACACCAAACTTTGTGGTGTAGTAGAATGTAGCAAACGGGTGATGACAGAGCGCTTGGAGAATAGATCACATACGTCCATTCCCTGCACCCCTAATATTCCACTCTCCAGACCTCTATTACCATTCATTCTCTGACCTCTTCCCTTCACCACACCCTCTATCGTCTTCCCATCTCTACACCCCATGTCTTGGTTTATTCATTCACAACAGCTGCTAACATCCTCCCGTCTCTACATCCCCTACCATCGCCCATTATGTACAACCCCTATCATCCCCAGATCTCCACTCCTCTTATCATCGTCCCTTCCTCACAATCCCTATCATCGTCCATTCTCTACACGGCCTATCATAATCCGCTTTCTATACCCCTCAAAATCATCAGTATTTTCTGCCTTCATCGCCCATATGTGCTCTTGTTCTCCCTCTACCGCCCTTTGCTATCACCCATCCTCTCACATCCGCCAGGCAATGCAGAACGAGTTCCGGTTGGCCCGAGCTTGGGCCAAGGCCCAGCGGGCTGTGCTGCGCGCATTGCACAGAGTGCAAGTAGCCGCCAAGCGCGCCTGCCCCTTGCGCCAAGTGGACGAATCACGTGCTGCCAGCTCACCAATGGACATGGCACGTACGCGGCTCACTAAGGAGAGGCCGGCAGCAAAGGCTCAGCTTGAGGATGCCCAGGGAAGGCTGAGGTTCCTGCGGTTGCTGTCGGAAGAGAGGAAGGCGGGGAAGGGGAAGCATGTGGCTGATGGGGTTGAGGAAGGGGAGGAAGTGGGAGGGAGTGGGGAGAAGGGGATGGGAGAAGGGGAAGAAGAAGAGATCTGTATGGTGTGCAGGGAGCCGTTTACGAACAAGTTCTCAGTCTTCCCATGCTTCCATGTGCTGTGCTGTGACTGTGAGTGACCTGCAGCATTTAATGCCTTGCTTTTTCATTTTGTTCAAGTCAAATAGTCCTTGTATGTTTGTAAATAGATGTCAATAGATGTTTTTCTCCAGGTGTCTGTTTCTTACAAGTTGGCATGTGCGTTGGAATCGTTGCGATGAAGTATTTGTGAGCAATTCGTGAAACCCTTACTGCCTGAGCCTTGGTTGCCATGTCAACTCTTGTCATCTCACGGTGCCATCCCTCGCCATGTCATCTCGCTGTATCATCCCACCATGTCATCTCGCTGTATCATCCCACCATGTCATCTCACTGTGTCATCCCACCGTGTCATCTATCATCACCATCTCTCACCATGTCACTGTATCATCTGTCACAATGCCATCCCACTGTGTCACCTCTGCAGGCACACAGCTTCTGGTGGGCAGGGCCTCTTCAGTGCCTTCTGCAACCATTACCATCACGGGCAGTGCTGCTGGCAGCAGCAGCAGGGAGCCGCGAGTCCAGTGCCCCATGTGCCGCAGGGAGGCAGTAGCATCGGAGATACGAGACGTGGACAACACCACTCGCAGCGATCGCACAGCCTTTTCCAGGTCCCCTGCTGCTAGTGCTGCTGCTGCTGCTGCTAGTTCTGCTGCTGCTGGTGCGGATGCGAATCCGTGGCTGGATAAGGGTGCTGCAGGGAGGGAGGGAGAGGAGGAGATGGTGCCAGATAAGGTGCAGATGCAAGAGAAGGAGATGAGTCTCTGCACGGACTTTGGGACAAAGGTATGCCCTTATGTCAAACCCTGCGAAAGCTTCTCATATGTATCTCTTGTTTTTGTCCGTCCTGTCATCTTTCTTTCCATTCCAATTATCCCCACAAAATCTCGCGTTCATCCCTGCAGCTGGATGCAGTGACGCGCCGAGTGGGTCCTGTGCTCGGACCCATCGGCCAAAATCTTAGTGTTCAGCGCGTGGAGGGACATGCTAGTCCTCATCGCCCATTGCCTGCATGCCAATGGCGTCCCCACTGCCTCCGCCTTTAAACCGCGGTAGGTTTTCATTGTCCACCTCTCACCCATACTCTCAGCCTTTCCTACCACACCCTTTGCTCCCTCTACCTTCATCTCAGTCCCATTCTTTCCATAGCACTCAGTTGCATCTGATTGCTCCCTTGAAGATTCCTCATGTACCACCAGTTCCTTGAGCCATTCCTTTCAACCCATGGAATTTCAACGCTTCTTTATTGCCCATCAACACTTCTCCTCGTCTTCCTCTCTCGTCTTCTGATTCAAACATGAAATTCACCACCCGGCATTCGTGCCTCCTCGTGCCTCTCCGACCAGGGAGGTGCCCTCTGCATTGGAGCGCTTCACATCATCTAATCGCCTGCCAGCCCAGTCAGCTAGTGGCAGTGGAGCGGGTGGGAGTGCAAGGTGCCGCGTGCTGCTGCTGGTTGTGGCGGTGGGGGGCAACGGGCTGAACGTGGTGGAGGCACAGCACGTGGTGTTTGTGGAGCCGGGGCTCAATGCGGCCGCCGAGGCGCAGGCTGCCAATCGCGTGCACCGCATCGGCCAGACCCGCCAGACTTTTGTGCACCGCTTCATTGTAAGCCGCCCTGTTTGTTGATAGCCTTCCAGTGAAATGTACGCAGCCAATGAGCATGTCTACAACATATGGTCCACTGTAAGGCGTTGGATTTTCATTTTCAGAATGTGTTACTTTTCAATGCGTGCAGGTGCAGGACACAGTGGAAGAATCCATCCATGCCCTTAACCGCTCCAAGACTTCTGCATCCCACCTCTCTACCTCGCGTGCCGCCAGCAAGGCATTCGCAAATGATCACAACTCACTCACTTTGGAGGATGTCAGCACTTTATTCTCTCGAGGCTGATCCCCTGCAGCACCCAGGGAGGCAGGAGGAAATGTGATGCCCCTGGGCGGAAGACTTTGGGAGCTTACGATTGAATAACTCCAATGGATTACCGTAATACCCTGGATAGAAGCGCACCTGCGCTTATAATACGGTAAAACATTGTTTTTTGGGGGGTGCGCTTATAATTGAGTCAGATTTATAAGCGCATGCGCTTATAAAATGACAATTACAGAAATGTGTTTTAAATTCACCAAAATGTACATCTCTGTCGTACAATTTCAATCGAATCAGAACATTACGGCGTCCCACATCAGAGAATCGCGCGAGGGCGATTTCAGCCGCCGCACAGGGGCGAGGACACGTCACAACGCAGAGGGATGTGTCAAGCTCGCCCCGAACCAATGTACGAGCCAGTCGCACGGAGTCGCTTGATCGCAGCGCAGAGGCACACTCGTTCCCGAGCCCCCTCGCCTGCCCCTTATTCGCTCGCACAACGCACAGGACAGTCGTTTCCAGCGCCCATCTTCCCTCCCCCCCCTCCCAACGATGTGCTGTCAGTCAGTCAGCTTCACGCCGTTTCGCTTCTCCTGCGAATCGCTCGCCCTCGAGCGAGTCAAACAAGTAGGAACGGATCTGGTGGACTCGCTGCAAAAAGGGAAATCGTTACTGTATTAATCAGGATTTAATAGTAGAATTATTGATGCGCTTATAATAAGTCAAGGTTTTACAGGGGGTGCGCTTATAATTGAGGACCGGCCATAAGCGCATTGCTCCAGATATAAGCGCATGCGCTTAACATAGGCCTGCGCTTATATCCGGGGCCATACGGTAACGTGAACAAGTCTGGTGGTCCTTCCTTAGTCAGTGTTACGAGTGCAATTGAGTGATCGAACAAGAATTGCACTATCGAAGCAAGAGTACAATGAGCGAAGGCATAAGCAAAGAATATATAGCGAAACTACAGTGGTACGGTAACGGTAATGCGTGAAAATGGGGTGCGTGACGGGCCTGGCGCTGAGGTTGGGAAATGCTGAGGCGGAGGTCCGGAGCGCGGGTTACCAACCGAACAGTGAGGTTGGGTCTGTTAAGAAGTGAACGAGAGAATGTGTGAACTATGAACGAAGTGAGTACAAATAGGAAACCCTAACTGGGTTGTACCCCCTATGGGATACCCCACTATAGCCTACACAAATAAGTAAGCTATAATGTTCTGACAGGGTCGCGTCGTGAACAGTGGCGGAAACAGTGTCAAGGCGAATGTCGCGAGTGGTAACGGTTTACTGTTGGGTGCTGTTGGCGGGAACAGTGGTGTACGCGCTGAGCAGGGACGCGAAGTAAGGAAAAGGAAGTTCCCTTACAGTCAGTAAGATGCTCTCGTACATGACGAACCGCACACAAGATGAAAGAAATGTACCATCAATCATGTTGAATATCAGATAAACTAATCAGATCGAAGTGCCATCTTACAAAAATTTATCAAACATGTACCATACAATATTCTATTCATTCTCGATAGCATGAAAGAGTAATGAGAAGACAAAGTTACGCTTTAGTCTTCTTCGTTGAAATCAGCAGATGATTTTGTCTCGTTATGCGCGGGTTAGGCGTGAGTGCGTGTGGCGATGACGTGTTTTCGTAAGGCGTCTAGACGTAGTTCTAGGCGTCTAGACATAAGTTTAGGCGTCTAGACGTAACTTTAGGCGTCTAGACGCTATTGAAGACGTCCAGACAAGCATTATTGTATTTTCTCTAGGCGTCTAGTTGTCGTTTCTACAGGCTTCCATACGTTACATGAGGCGTCGAAGACGTCACTTGAAACATTCAGACGCCTTTACCAGGGTCTCAAAAAGGCTGAGATTCTTAGGATCGTAATCACCTTAGTCGGCAATAGTGTACTTGCTATCGCCTATCGTGTTCTCCACGATCTCCCGAATCCAATGATATGCGCAGCTCTGCTTGAAGTTGTCAATACACTCTTCAGCAATTTTCAGAATCTGATTGGTATGATTTCCAGAATGAGTACAAGCAGTTTTATTGTTAGAGGGATGTTTATTGTTCATTCCGAACAGTACATTCCTAGTCACCATTATCCTTATCTTCTCAGATTCTCTAGTGCCACGTGGCACTCTACTTTTCTTGCACTCCAATTCTTGGTCCCACATTCCACTTTCCAACCTTGTTTCTTGCATGCTATATAAACCTTGCTTGTACTTGCCATAATCAATCAATTCTCATTCAACTCTTCTTCAATTACTCAGTAACTTCTTCGCCTATTTCGCCAATAGTTCTTTCGCCAAAGTCTTCCGCCGCGTTTCATCCTCGACTTAGTCGACCCCGCTAATTCTTTAGCGGACTTAGGCCGTCGGGCCTAACACTTGGTATCAGAGCCTTCGCGGGGAGCGACTTCCAACGAGCGACCGTCGACGACGAGACTACGACGTCATCGTCCCGCGGTGCCGACTTGCAGACTTGGAGTCGTTGAGCGAACATGGACGAAACCATGCACGCAGTCCCCCACGACATGGGCAACACGCTTGCCGAACTCATGCGCCAACTTCAAGAGTTGACGCTGGAAAATCGACAGGTACGAGCTGAAATGCAACAGCTTCGTGAATTGGCTTCTAACCCCCATGGTCATGCCACACCAACTCTTGCGCCCAACACGTCGACTGGCGCGGAAGCGCTGCCGGAACGTCGAAGCGCACTCAAGCCGCAGAAACCCGAGTCGTTCGACCCAAGTCAACGCGACGCGAACGTGCGGACGTGGCTCTTCATGCTGAACAACTACTTCGCCGCGAGCGGGGTGCAAGAGGCGGACGCGCAGCAGCGGATCGAGTACGCTGTTACACTGCTGAGGGGCCCGGCCTTGGAGTGGTGGCGCCAACTCACTCAAACTGCTGTAAGAAGGGCTCAGACGGACGGGCATCAACAGGGCGTGGGGCATGCAGCTGCAACTTTGAGCTTAGGGAGTTTAGCTTTGGGTGTTACCACGGTTCCGACCACATGGGAAGGATTTGAAGCGGCGCTGAAAAGTAGGTTCGATTTGGTGAACGCCTCCGAAGCTGCTAGGAAGCGTCTGCGTCATTTCCGACAGATAGGAAACGTCCAGGAGTACACACGACGGTTCTTGAGCATCTGCAACGAGATAGACGATATTACGGAAGCAGAGATGCGCGATCGCTACCTCGAGGGGTTGAAGCCGGACATAGCGGAAGTCATTGCGATTCACGGGTTGTCCACCTTCGAGTCGGTAGTCGCAGCAGCAGAACGCGTCGACGCAATACGAAGCCGACGGGGTCGTGACGATCGCGATAGGGGATACAACAGACCGATCAACGACGCTCGATCGAGGGACGGACCATCGCCCATGGAGATTGGTGCAGTTAACAGTGACGGCTCACAGAAAATGGGATTTAGGGGGAACCGTCACTACTGCAAAAAGCCGAGACACATGAAGCGAGACTGCCCACAGCTTAAGGAGCGGCAGCAGGGAAACGGAAACCGCCAGTAGATAGCGGGTCGCTAGCTGGTGTGGAGGTTCCTGTACCCGCCACGTCTACCAACGTAGAGGAGACGGCTTTGCAGCAGTCATCTACGGAGAACGAGGTAGACACTGTTGATCGTCCAGTCGTGCTTCTAGGGAAGCTTCGCGGAGTTCCTGTTAAGATTCTCGTAGATAGCGGAGCTAGCCACTCGTTCGTCTCTTCATCGTTAGTTTCTCGTCTCCATCTCGAAGCAGATTCAGCAGTCAACTTCAAGGACACTCGCATGGTAGATGGGATGCCACTTCACATAGGACCGATCATCCGCAAGTTGCGCGTAGTGCTAGGACCGATCACAGTCAGGCGTGATTTCGACTCTGCGACGCTGGACGGATACGATTTTATCTTCGGGAGAGATTGGCTACGGACGGTTAGTACTCAGTTCGATTGGGCTCAGGGAAGCTGCAGCGTCAAGGTAGACGGGGAGTTCCGGGAGCTGCCACAGTGGAGCGATGGGGCCACATCATCCACAGCTATCATTAATGCTGTTCGTGTGCGACAGTTAGTGAAGCGTGCGGCACGGATCTTCGCGGTTTTTCTTGAGGAGGTGGAAGCTGAGGAGGGGAAAGGAGGGAGTGCAGCAGTTAGTGAGAAGGCGACTCTTCCTGCTGAGGTGAGTGCACTGTTAGCAGAGTTCGCAGACGTCTTCCCCGACGAGTTGCCCCCAGGGTTGCCTCCCAGCCGAGCAGTAGACCATCGAATAGAATTGGAGCCGGGGAGCAGGCCAGTAGCGAAGCCACAGTGGAGGTTGAGTCCAGCGGAGACAGAGGAGATGACGCAGCAAGTTAGGCACTTTCTCGCACAGGGTTTCATACAGCCATCTAGATCGCCTTGGGCCGCACCGATACTTTTCGCACCCAAGAAAGACGGAGGGTTACGGATGTGCATAGATTACCGCGCACTGAACGCCGCCACCGTCAAGAATAGATTCCCGGTGCCGAGAGTAGAGGATCTTCTCGATGCAGTGCAGGGCGCTAGAGTCTTCTCAAAGATCGACCTTCGTTCGGGTTACCACCAGATTCGAGTAGTTCCAGAGGACCAGCACAAGACGGCGTTTCGTACGAAGCAGGGGTTGTACGAGTTTAGGGTTCTACCGTTCGGATTGACCAACGCCCCAGCGACGTTTCAGACGCTCATGAACACAGTCCTCTCCGAGTTCCTAGGGTCGTTCGTTGTCGTTTACCTAGACGACATCCTAGTGTTCTCTAAGA